GTCTACGGGGGAAGGGGGTCTGCCCAGGATTCGTGCACAACTTATGCAAGGATGCGCAAGTACGACGAACTTTCGTCCTGGCGCAGTATTAAATTGGGTAGATATCAGGGTTATATAAGGGTTATCTGGTGGGGGAAGGAAAAAGAAGATGGACACTAGATTATTTAGGGCTTAGTGTCTCGGGTTCTATGGGGTGAATGGAAAGTGTCGATCAAGGGGCTCTAAGGGTTCCATTGGGGTTTTATAGGGTTTAGGTTTCAGGATTCAGGGTTTAGGTTTAGGGTTTAGGGATATTCATAGCCCAGTAATAGAGAATAGCATGGAAAAGAACATGGGAAGGGAAATGGAAACCACCACATAGGGTTTAGGAGAAGCTTGGTAGCCCGGATAGCTATACTGTGTACATTGTCGGTTGCTATACTCTCATGACCATACAACAATGTAAACTTTCTTTAACTCGCCAGCTGGGAAAGTGTAAGCAGGGTTCAGGGTCCATGCGATTTCCGAACATGATGTTCTTGCTTTAGCATTGCAAGAGGGTTGCGAGGGGTGTGATACATTGCCAGGTCATGTTTTGCGCAGCATTTTTTTGGGGGTAAATGGAAGGGCTTGTTCTATCGGGACAAAGGATTTAAAACCAGATGGTACTTGGATCAATAACTACTATGTAGGGTCACTGCTAAGTCATGTTGTGTGGGACTTCTGCTCTGGACTCCTGTGGGTGTGTCTTAACATGTGGCTCCACTCTTTGGGTAGTGAGTGTTCGGTAGAGAAGCTGATAGGGCAGCTGGAGAATCGCCTGAACCTGCAAGGAATGGCCTGATCATTGTGTGGATGCTTCACAGAGGGATTTGGTTCGAGGACCAGTCTGTTGCTGCAGTTATTTCTCTGGTGATCCTTCTGAAGAGCATTGCCATACTCATGTGTTTCTTGTGTATCCTGTAAACTATGCATTGAAATCTAGTGCCGTTGATCCTACCAGTAGTTGCTTGTCCCTCACTGTAGTTTTCTGTTTTTTCAGCATCGTGTTGGCTCTCCACATAGCTTGTCGGCCTCTTGGTATCCTGGCTCGCGGGAGGAAATGATCAACAATCGAAACAGAAGTGTCGTTCGCGACATGAAGTGGAGCCAGAACCTGAGCTCTCCAATTCCGTTAGGACCTAGGCGGCTGATTGACAATCAGCCAAAAGAAGCCACTTTTTGCGTGACTGCTGCAGAACCTGCAGCGTGCTGCTTGCTTGAGGTGCTGACTGTCAGAAGTGCCGTGCTTGGATCTGCTTGTACATGTGCTGAAGCATGTACCCGTTCAGCTAGATGGCGCTCACCTGATGCTTGATGTGCGACAAGGATTTGTATCATCTATGAAGATGGTGCAGTTATAGTTGGCACTGTGGATGGTCAAAGGCTGGGCCTGAGCATTGCAACGGCTTCAAAAATCAACTGGCAGTCAGCCGTGAGTGCGAACACTGCCTGTGTGTTGAACTTGTAGCTGCGATTCTTGCCTCAGAATTATCTTGCTGATTTTCTCGAATTATAATCACCCTGCCAAGTCCTGCGTTGCCAGGCTGTGGGGTAAAGAGGCCGAAGCCCTGCTCGCATGTTCAAGCGCGGTTCTGGACACCAGCCAACAGCATGGGTAGAAGTTAGATGGTAGGAGAAAAGCATTTACTAGTATTACTATTTGTGTTTCTCTTACTATTACTATTACTATTAGTACTATTTTTGGATGCTAGGGCTTAGGGCTCATGCGGTGCATCCTGAAGGTCAAGACACAGCTCGCCTTCGTAGAGTGGTCACCGGATGGCAAGAACATCCTTTTTTGCACTTTGAACGGCGAGGCGCAAGCACTTGTGCCAACTGTCCTGGAGCATCTAGGTTGTTCTCAAAATTATGGGCCCTTTTGGTTATAGTTCATGTTACGGGACGTAATGTTTCGGGGTACCAAAATGGGACCCTAGTTTTGGGAACTACCCATCTTGTCTCGGGGACTTTGCTGCAAAGATTTGAGATCTGCAGTGGATCTAAGCAGCAAAGGCAGAGCACGCAACTTCTGTGCAAACTTGTTCTGGTGCAGGTGCATGTCTATGACAATGAAGGGATCTACTCCCACAAGGTGCCGATCTACTGTCATCCCGGCTGTTTACTGGTTTTGCTGCAGCTGTTCTGATTCCAATGCAGGCCTCAGCTTCAGGAGCCCTGCGACCTGCTTGCCATGACGTTGACGTAAAAGTTTTAGATACAAACGAGGGGGCGGGGGTCGCTAAAACGCACGAAATGACGCTGCAATCAACACTCTGTCATGGAGCGACGCTTTTGAGAAATTATAATATGCTATGGAAATTACTAAAATATATGATACTATATTATAATGTACTATGGCATACTATAATATGTACGATGCTACATCTTATTGCGCTGCCTGGGCCAGGCCTTGATAGTGGCACCGAGGGCACTGTAGCTATTGCTGGCATTGACTGGCTGCTTGGCCGCCGAAGCCAATCAATTGCTGCTTAGATCTGACAGGTTCAGCTGTTCAGCTACACATGGGTATTTCAAGCTTGGGGGGATTGCTCACAAGAGGCCAATAGGCATTTCGGATTTGGTTTGTTGCATGGAGATATTTTCGTGCCTACATGTTGTCCGTGCAGGTTTGCCGGGCCAAACGGTCCTGAGAACCAGGCAGGCCATGGAAACTTGAACTGTGTTGGGACATCTGTGGCTTTTTTGAAAATGCTGTGTTTTCTGTGTACTTAACGACCCTGCACAGTTTGGGGGTGTGCCGGGGATGCTTCAGTGACCACACTTATCCTTGCGACATCTTCACCTGCTTACCTTGCAGACGCCAACGCTGTGCTTGGGCTTCGAGAACGGCCGCGTCCAGATCATGCGAAGTGACGCAGCTGCATCTCCATGGGCAAAGTGAGCAGCAGGCTGAACGTATGTGCCGCTCGTGACGAAGTCCCAGCGATCTAAACTCATCTCAAAAAAGATTGGCTGATGAGGCGATGCCGATGACAAGCCCGTGCTTTTGGACACGCAGCTGCCCCTCGACAACCTGGGAAATGCTTGATATAACCTCACTGGTCCTTTGCGGCGGCATCTGTCTCAGAAAGACATGTCCGATTTAGGCATGCAGACTTACTCTAAGGGATCCAAAGAATGCATATTGTAGAAATCAGGCCGGCCCCTGCATACACCAATTGGTTCGAGATGCAAGTTTTCGTGGTGGCGTCATACTTTGAGTTTACAGTCCACAAATCTTTGTTCGCATTCCTTCAAGTGCTACACGCCTCCTGAGTTGACAGAGTCCAGAAGGAGACTAGTTGAAAGAAGTCGGTGAACCCGAGGAGATGTACTGGTCTGAAGTGGGATCCGAACGGCTCAGTGGCACCGACCCAAGACACGGCGTATTACGCCACGAAATCTGCTGACACGATCCTTACGACAGAATTTCATCTGCTTGGAGTTATGGTAGGATAACAGGATTAACAAGCGAAGGCCTGCAAAATCCAGATTTCAAAGGAGCCTTTTTCTGAAGATTCTCACGGTTTGCCTCATGAAGTATGACCGTTTTGGAGAGAGTAGGAGGCTTCACGCAAAGAAAGATCCGTTTACCCAGGTTCCAGACCAAGCAGGGGATCCACTCTTACCCAAAGAAGTCTAAGAAGCTTGATCAAACCCTGTCAAATCTTGTAAGCACAACAAAAGTCACCGGTTTCACCAAGGCATAGCACTAAACCCTGCCAAAGATGCACTACTTGGTTTGGCAAGCATACCTCAGAAGCCTCCGTCTAATCCCTGCAAGAGTCTTGAAGACATCCTTGACCAACCCGAGAACCCGGTCTCTACCCTGAGCAATTGCCATTTAGTCTACATGTGGACCCCTGCAATCCTCTTAGTCTCTAAGGGCAGCCGGTTTTGGGAAAATCCCCATGTGTGTGCTGAGATCGCCATCGCTGGCGTGCAGAGTCAGGGTGCAGCCGCTGCAGACCGCGAGGCTGCACAGGGCCACCACATTCGATGAACGTGAAAGGAGGATTAATCCTGTCTGTAGGAGAGGAGGGAGCTGTGACTGGATGAGGATGACGTACACGCAGGGAAGTTTCAGGTGAGGTGGTAGTTTCCCCAAATAGGGGGACCCCCAATATAGACCCCAAAATATTATAATCCTTATTATGGGGACCCCCCAAAATGGTACCCGTAATTTAGGGAATCCCCCAGGTCTTGTGGCAAGTCTTACCTTACAGGATTTACGTTGCTTTAACCTCAGCAGCCTCAATGCCTCTACACTCTGCAGCCTGGTTGCGAAAATCTAGATGCAGTCCTCGATGTCAGAACCCCAAATAGGGTTTAGGGTTTAGAGTTTAGAGACACCCCTTTAAATCAAGCTTTCCTGTATTTCTGCTCCATCATGACGGCGGAAAAGCTCGTGATAGTGCCCATGATAATCCGCCGAAGGGTTCTCTCAAGCCCTTGAAAATGGTTCACATAGTCCCTTGTTTGACCCGAAGTCCTAAATGGGAGGCTGTTCGAAACATGGTGCTATATTTTGTATCCTTACTAACCTGATATTATGGGCCCTGTTGTGCTAGGAGCCCAAAAAAAGACCGCACTTTTGATAGCCTACCATGTAGACCCTGAAGCCACCCTGTCCCCGACGCCGTCAGCCTGCCATCTTCAGGTTGGCATTGTGCAGTTCTATGCTCCAAGTGGGCAGCACCTGAGATCTCTGCTGCTTGCCTGCAAGAGCTCTGAGTTTTTGCATCCTGGTATTTCGATTTCGATGCTTGAAACATAGCGAAAGCCTAGCAAGAGCTAGGACTAGGATCTATTTCATCTTTCTCTGTTCGCAAGAAACGATGCAGTTTGGCCGAGGAGAGTGCCCGGCCAAAATCTTCGCTCGATCTCCTGGGAAGGCTGCAACCAAGGGTCAAAGTGACTTCAGGTAAGGTTTGGGCAGTTGATGGCCGGTGTAAGGGCTGGTTGTTGTCTTAGACGTGCTTTAGACGCCTGCAGGCTCTGATAGGATGAGGCACTTGCATTTGATAGATGTGATGTGAGATGCAGTGTCCAGCAGTGAACCAAAGAGTCAGTGTTTTCAATCCTGAAATATGGGTCTGCAAAAGTTAGATTCCCTCGCTGGGGGTAACCGTAATAGTGATCATTGACTACAGTATGTCAAGGATGTATGGGGGATCCCTTTTTGTGGAAACCCCCAAATGGTTAAGAATCGAGGAGGAATTGCCTATTACTGTTATAGTAGTATTGGTAGTACTATCATTACTAATATGCTTATTACTATTATTCTTATTACTATGATTCCCATTTTTACTAGTATTGCTATTACTAGGATTGCTATTCTTGTTATTATTGTTGCCTGTCAAGGTTCTGGCCTTCGATTAGCGTTGGCGGTTGATTCACACATCTTCTTTGCCAACATCAGGCATGGCGTGGACACTTGCATGATGTAGTTTCCCAACATGGGGGGACCCCAATTTAGACCCCAATATATTTTAGTCCTTACTATTGGGACCCCCCAAAAAGTCATTCCTAATTTTGGGAAACCCCCATGTTATTGCTGCGCAGCGAGACCTGGTTGTGTCAACGTAGGATTGTTCGTCAAGGCTCTGCATTTACAAGTGTAGGGGATCTGTAAAGTTTGAACTTAACGGCTGATGCAGAAGGATCTGAGCCGCTGACTCTTCTTGGGCAGAGGGCGCGAGGATCTGTAAACAGGATTGTTGTAGCTGTGGCTGCTGTGGCGGAAGAGATATTGTCTAAAGACCAGCTTCCTGCGCAGCCGCTCCATCGACGGTCCTTGCATGGGATGAGCAAGGATTTCGTCGTATTTCAGTTTTCATTTTCAAGATGTAGTATATCCGCATAATGCTAGGTTGAGCATTCAAGCCTTCTGCCTTGAATTCTGCAAGCCGTAGCGCATGCAGGCCAGACTATCTTTGGGGATACTTCTCGCGAACCCTGGTGTATGCTGCCACAGCCTAAGATTCCATTGTGCCCACCCGTGCCCTTGCACAGTCTGACTGTGTGACTATCCTGATATGCACGGTTGTTCCTGTAGGACTAGTCTTCCTACGTCCCATTTATGAAAATTTATGCATGTGTTGTCACCGCGGGTGCCGTACAAGTTCGTGCCCACACCCTTTGAGACTTCTGAGCTTGAGGTATTGCGCAAAGAGCGCAACGAGCATGTCGTCGTGTTCTGGGACACCCACAGCGACGTGCCGTGCCAGCAATTTCTATTTGGCTTGTTTCAAGATGCGTGTAGACACCAACTCGCAAGGTTATCCGCCATGCAGGGATGATGCCCGACAAATGAGCATCTATCCAAACCGGAGCATGCTTGCTTTTGCTGATTGCTTGTCCAGATGTCCGAGGAAAAATACACCAAGTACATTAAGCACGTCACGCATCTCGGCTTCACATCAGCAGGTACACCACTTGTTTTGCAGATTTTGAAGCCTGAAATGTAGAAATACTTGTGAACAGCACAGTGATGACATTATTTGGAATACTCGTTTGAGAAAGAGTTTCAGGAAGAGGAATCAGTATAGAAGTACCATGACTGGTAGCACCGGCGGCGGAAGACGAGCCGGAGACAAATCAATGACAGCAAGAGTGCGACCAGCAGCAGCAGTCGTGTGGTGGGATTACCTCTAGTAGTCGTCGTTGTCACCAAAGTCGTGCCAAAAATGATGCATTGCAGGGTCCTTATTGCAACACAATTCTGAGGCATATCAGGTCCTCTGAGGAGTACTGCGTCCTTGTTACGAAGGTGGGGCGCGGACGGGATGAATGCAGCGTGAGAGTAGGAGGGATGGTTGGAGCTGGACGCAGTATTATGCCGGCTGCTTTGTCTTAGAAGTCTAGTCTTGATGGTTCATTGTTGTGTCTGTTGTGTTTGCGGCGACTGTGTAATTCTGAGGATGATGGACCTGTTGCCTTTGGATGTGGCAACCATTTCTAGATTCTACAAGTACATCGCATGCTCCTTGTCCCCGTAAGCACGGTGCTATTCGTGACGGACCCCGGGGTTTGGAATGGCTTGCGAATCTGCGCTTCGTTGTCTCCAGCTGATTGTCAAGTCATTGGACTCGAGGATACTGAACTCTGTATTTAAGAGTCTAATGGGATTGCGAGTTTGCAATCAGGCCTATACGGAACGTGGCGCATCAGTATGTTGTTCATCGTTACAGTTCTTGCAGTGAAGAGAAAGATTTTTCTTCAATGGGCAGATTGTCATTTCTGGTCCTGAGCTGCAAGTGGGCTTCGTGTAGTGCTTCAATGGACGGCCCTATTGGCTGGTGTCTTGCTGTAGGATGAAAGAAGTCCGATGAAGGGCTTGAATCCCTGGAGGCAGACGATGCCAGTGGTCAACACATTGCTGCAGACTTAGGTACTCGCGGCGCACAGGTCCATAGAGGGACATGGAGGGCAGTTTGGCATGCATATCTGGCTTTGGAAAGGTATGTCGTGAACGATCCTTCTAAGCGCCTTTCCTCATGGTCAGCCGCGCATCAGCACACAATCAGGGCGCGCGAGACCCTGCACTTGCAGATGGCAAGTAGAGCATTATTGTACGGATGTTTTTTCAGTCTGGCTGCCGATGCACCCGCTTTGTGTTTTGCCAAAGCCAATTCCAATTCAATAACATTGCAACACGCTTTCTTCTTGTTAACAATGGCCGCCCCCTACTGAATATTTCCAGTCTCAATACAGTTAAGGCAGTGATCTTTGAAAGACTGGTTGGCAGACGCCACATGCCTTCTAGCATTCATTCTACACACGTAGAGTTTCAGTGGGATAGGCCAGAGCAGGTTGTAATGCTGTAGGAACATGAGCTTTTACCTAAACTCCTGAAATGGGGCAATATAAGTATAAGGGTTGGATACTAGGAGTTTAGACTATAGCTCATATTCCTATTTTTATCATTACTACTGCTACTACTACTACTACTACTACTTTTACCGTTGATATTACTATTACTGCTCATATGGAGGGATCCTAGTGAGGTCATAGTCTGCAATGACATCGGCAGTCCGGTGGACTCCAAGTTCCTCGGCCTAGCATACTGGGTAGGGCTTTTACGAGTTTTGGTAGAGGGTTGAGGGGCCAGGGTTTTTGAAGGGGCTTTCATGGTTCCGAGAGTGTATATGATGTAGAGTTTCTCGGTGGTGTGCGTACATTTGTGCATGTGGGTGGCCATAAATGAACATCCTTCCGCAAATGATGTGCGACTTCTTTTTCTGTTTTGGTGACAATGGGTTGAACCCGAGTATGCGTGCAGATGCAGTGCTCATAAGTCAGATCTCAGCTCAGATACCCGGCATGATTGAGAGGTAGTGACAGTATGAAAGATGCCTAGCAGCTAAGATAAAGGCAATGACACGCGCCATGAAGGCATTAGCTATAGGGATTTTATAGTAAAAACTTATGATACACACTGCTACAGGCATACAGCGCAGCCTTGTGTCTTCGCGTTCTCTTATGGGGGTTTCCCAAGGCAAGGGTTACCTTACTGAAGATCCCCATCATAAGGATAAGCATATATCGGGGTCTATATTGAGATCCCATTATTTAGGGAAACTACCAATGTTCCCGCCTCCAACACAAAACAGCCTGTTGTAGGATGATAGGGCTATATATAACCATGGTGTAGTATCAATATTATCCAGCTGTGACTTGGTGAGGGCAGGATCCAAGTTATAGCGCCTTTTACATGCAGACTCGTAGACGGGTGATTGCTGTCTTTGCTACTCTCCAGCGGCAAGAGGGAGATTGCATCTGAGGTATATGCAGTTTGGATTTACATGGGGATTATATGTGTGGTGTCTATTTCTTTTCCATTGTAACAGGGCTTATATAGGGATATATAAACAGGGGTATACAAGTTTTAGGGTCTAGGGTAGAGTTAGATGAGAATTATATGGGGGAATGGGACGTCAAATTGTAACCTACCACATAAAGGGGTAGATCTGAGGTATATGCAGCTGGATCCAGTCCATGTGGCGATGACAAACTCGCACGTCATTGTGACCTCGGAGGAGTGATAGATGATGGTAAGTAGGTTATTAACCTAGTGCAAAGGCCTGCTATTGCGGCAGCCCTTGGCCGAAAGGACGTTGTTTATATCTGGAGCTATCGCACCAGTGTCTCCCGGCAAGCCCAGGTGGGCTCGTGCAGACACATACAGTTCAATGTCAGCAGTTCCGGTTCCGCAGATAGTGCTTCACTGGGTGTTTGTCAACATTCTGGGCTTCTAACACAGATGGTAGTTTCCCAAAAAAAGGGGACCCTAATTTAGACCTCAATATACTATGATCCTATTCTGGGGACCCCTAAACATGTAAACTTAGTTTAAGAAAACTCCCAGATCCATTTTTGGCGGTATTCAAGGGGAACGCCAGGCGTGAATTGATCAGATGTGCAGCCGAGTCTTTTGAATAAAGACTGAAATGCTGCAGGATGCAAGCAGACTCTCAAACTCTAAAGCCTAAAGTAGACCCCTGATTGATAGACCCCTCTGGATTCTTATTATAATCCCTATTAAGGGCAGGGGGTTCATTAATCAGGGGCCTACACTACGGTAAACCATGGAAGGCAGCTAGATGCTTAGTCTCTAGTTTCCCCTGGCGCCGGCTGGCAGATTGAAAAGTTCTCTAAGGTTTTTCAGAGAGGCCTGAAGCGTGTGGCAGTATAGTATATTCTAATATATGATAGTATATACTAGGCCATCATAGCATAGTAAACAATCATACTACAGCAAATTATAGTACATTATAGTACATTCCAGATTATAGTTGCACTTCAGGGCGATCTGGCTTCGGCTGCTGGCATGGGCATCAAGCAGTCATCCCGTCTGTTTTGTAAGCACTGCCACCCGCTGCCGCCCACTGCCAACGCGAAAGAAGTCTCAAGCATTCTGCTGAAATCAATATCCCGCATACACTATAATATAGTATATTATCAACCTCACAATATCATATTAGATTGAATGTTACGATACTATACTACATTAATTTATGTTGTATCAGATTATGTACTAAATTGCATACTACTATTATTCTTAGTATATTTATAATAACTATTATTATTATATACTAAGCTGCCAGGAAGAGGGCTGAGATGATGCGCACCCGGCATGTTTTTAGACGCCTCCCGTTCAGCGGCTTTCCTTGGCTTGTTGAACATTGTAGTAGAGAAGAATATGAGACACACAATAGAGTATAATGTAGTAAAGCTGTAGAGCATAAAAATGTAATATGGAAGGTTGTAGTGCAAAAGAATATGGTATAGCACAATACAGTCTAATTTTGTAAAACCGTAGAGCATAAGAAGATACAGTACACAAGATTGTAGGTTTGCATGCTGCCCAATTTCGCTCTTCTCGCCAGCGAGTGTAGTTTTTTTGATTGAAGGCTCTAACCCCATTATAACCCCAATCTAACCCCATTATAACCCCAATATTGCCGCCAATGTCCTGAGCTGCAGCAGGTTTCACATCGACGAGTCCTTTGCGCCCGGCAGTGGGACGCATGACAAGGCAATGATGGAATATTCCTGACTCTACTGACTGATGACGTCCTCAGTGTCATCTTTTCTTGCAGGAAAGCTTTGTGCCGCCTTCCATGACTACTCAGGAGCTCGTAGGGGAAGGGGACATATGCCTGCCTGAGCTTCGCTTCGATTCTTTGCCAGAGAAGTCGGTGTTCCTCTGCTGCTGGAAGATGCCCAAGCCAAGAACCCTCATCTTCAGGTCTCTCAAGCCCCAAACCAAGCAATCCTTAAACTTGCGGAGGATCCCATTGCCTGCATCTGTGCCACGGAGCAATGCTTGCTGATTGCAAGGGAAAGCGGCGTGGTGCATCGCTATGCACTGCTCGGCACCTGGTTCGGGTTTGTGACAAGAAGTTAAGGTTTACTGGTAAGGATTGATTCAGGATTCAGAGTTGCGCTATCTCATGGTACAGCAGCAACAGCACCAATGATGATAATATGATCAAGCCATGTAGTGGCAGCGCTAGCAGCAGTGGCAGTAGGTCAAGGTCATGGGAGCGGTTGAGGCTCTGGTTGTGGCGGGGGATGAGCACTGATACAGTGGCTGTCGGAGTCATAAGACGACTAGTAGCAGTAGCAGAACTAGAGTTAGATTGGTAAGAGGCATGATGGCAACTTTTCTCCAAGAGAAGGCCTCATCTGTCGCTGGAAGCGCGCTTCACCATCCGGTGCCGACCGCAGGCGCGCCTGCACAAATATGCCAAGGTTACATGCTTTGGACGGCAGGAAGCCAATAGCAACCAGAATCCAGATGGAAGGAAAGCAGCAACAGAAATGAATTGCTGTTTGGTGTATCTCTCAAAATCCCATATTCTGAGGTTTTAGGCTAGGGTTTGTGGCTATGTACTGGTACTACATTTGCAGGGATGTTCTCCGGTGTGCCATGCTCTTGATGCTTGCCCCATCTCGCAGAAGGATAATGATTAATGCGGGCCCCCGTTACGGGGATTCAGGTGCCGATCTGATTTCGATCAAAACCATCTTCACGAATCCTTGGATCTTATCTTGAACCACTCGCAAGCCTGAATGCACCCAGAGCTCCTCAACCCCAAACCATCCCGAAACCCAAGACCCCCTAAAATCCCCTAGGCCCTTTAGGGTTTACTGTTTTGGGTAACCCTCAACCCTAAACCCTAAAATCCCCTAGGCCCTAAATCCTCCTAAACCGGAGCCGAGCAGGTGATTGCCGCCAACTGCGACAGCACCAGGATGTCCGTTATCGACATCAACGGGGCCGTGGCCTCGGCTCGTGCTTGTATTATTTTAGGTGAAGTATTATCTTATTCCTTGTGTTTGTATGAAACTACCTTGTATTATATCATATTATACCCTTTTACTATGCTATACCGTATTGTGTGAAGTATTATCTTACTCATTGTGTTTGTATGAAACTACCTTGTATCATATCATAATATACCCTTTTACTATGCTATACCATATTATGTTACATATTATATTATCTTACGTATTACGTTACGTCATATCATATAACGCATTATACCAGACATTATACCATACATTGACCATACATTGTCATGTTATGTTGTAGTACTGTTTTTATATCATATTATATCATAGCATATTGTATCATTACATTATATTGCCTTGCATGATGTCATATCATATTGGGGCACAGTGTTTGCAGGGTTTAGGGTTGTGTCGGGATGTTGCCCCAATTATAATGGATAATTAAATGCAAAGAACATGCAACATGAAAGGAAACTACTTATCTAGGCTATGTAATGGGGTCTATAGGAATAATGGAAAAGAAGATGGATTCTACTATATCTAGAGGGGTATATATATATATGAGCCCGATAC